ATATTACATATATATTGAAATAGTTCTACCTAATTAATTCACTCTGCATCAATTTACTCAACACTGATTAATTAATTTTTTTTTTAAAGAAAGAAAAGGTAAGACTAAGCATCCGAAAAAGAAAGTAATCAACATTGTAAATTTCCGGTATATTCATTTGAAGAACAAAGTAAAAAAAGGTCTGTGGAATCTTGATGACTTACAGTATTAGTTATTGTCCAGTGATGTTCTCAAAGGCTGTCTCCCGGCGTACATTTAATCTCCCGCCACGAGCATCGACAAAAGCTTCATCCAGTCTCGTTGGTTAATGAAGGTCACACTGTAATGTCAAGTTCACATAAACTGCAACTTGAAGAAAATGAATGTCCTCTAATTCTTTTGTTCGCACTCAGGGGGTTGTAAATGTCATCGTTAATGTTTTACGCCCCAATCGGCACAATTTAAATCTTTTATGAGGCGGGTTTCTTTGACCATGAGTATGTCAAGGCCAACCCAAGCTGAGAGGAATCACATAACAGCAGATAGATGGGGAAACTCGATAGCAAAACATTTTTTAAACCCTATCCGTACGTCGTGTTTTACTATCGTACCCATACGACGTGGGGAACGCTCTGCCACCATTTTCTAAAGAGGAAATTACTTATTAATCCGATCTGTACGCTTTGCGTAGCAGTCTGTCAAAATGATTTTTTGAGAAATACTGAAAGTTTCAGAGAGATCTTCGTACTAGAAGTATTCTAAAAGGTGAAGAATACAACCCCGGGGGTACGAAATGACCCCATGGCGTACAGATAGGGTTAAAAACCTGACAAACAGTACATACACAGAAATCGAACTCAAGTCTGCTGCGTGAGACTACGATAAGCTACAACTGACCTCTGCAACTCAGAGACAAGTATGAACCTCTCTTAACAAAATCTAACTTTCAATACAAGGATTGGAGAGCGAATAGACGGGACATTTTTTAAAAAGAGTATCACGCTTTTTCTGCTGGGGCGTTGTATCCCTCACAACTCCTGTTGACCTTGACTGGTGGAGTCAAAGCCCGCCTCCTAATTGATTATCTTACTTGTACAGACGTCGGCGCAAATAAAAGCACATCTGCACAAATCTTGCTGTCTTTTTTTTATCAAAGAAAAGCAAACAACTGTTCAAACCCTCTCACTCACTCACTGTCATCTTCAGATTAACAACCCGAAGACGGACCCTGTGTAGGAGGGGCGAGGAAAGATGGATAACATCCGTCTCTGAACACCCTAGCTCTGGAATCAAGTGATCACTCACTCCTAGTCCTTTTTGGAAGGATATGATAATATGTCAGCTACAGAGTTTGCTGCTTTTCCTTCCGTTTTCTGAACACAAGTTTCACTTAAAACCGCGTTATATATTGCTGCACATTGATGGGAAAACGAGCATGTGTAGATGGGTTACCAAACGTTCCAATAATTGGCACGGGCCGTGGCAACAAAACAAAGTCAGAAGTTTGCCTTTGAGATCGCCGTGAGCTGGATTAGGATTAGGATACCACTGGAGATCCATATCCTACCGTATGTAAGATGATGATATATCTTTTCTCTCTCTCTCTCTCTCTCTCTCTCTCTCTCTCTCTCTCTCTCTCTCTCTCTCTCTCTCTCTCTCTCTTTCTCTCTCTCCGCTCCATCCACTCCCTCTTTTTCTCCACTCCTTCTCTCTGTCCAAGGGCTATACTCTTCTTTCGTCTTTTGATAAGGACAGAAATGGCTGAAACTCAAAATGTGTAGGTTATGAATAATCCTCAAAGTCATGTACCCCCTTGCAAAACCTTGATATGAACAGAAATTTTTCATCAGCCATCTTCGTCATTTTTTTGTATCTCAAGTTCAACTGGAATGTTGCAGTGGCTGGAGTATGATTGATGTAGTGCTGGTTGTATTTGTTTGTTCTATTTATCTTGGATTTTATGCTTTATCGCTGAAGAATGGCGTGTTTGTTGAATTTTCATTTTTCGATCTTGTTTTTGCTTCAGTTAGAACGATGATGTGGTTGACAGCAAGCTGACTCCATGTGGGTTGTTTAATATTTAATTTTGTTTTTGTTGTTGGTCTGTAATATTTGTTGTTATATTGACCTATCTCAAAATGGTTGTGTGGCCAGGAACTGAATGCATGTTTACAGTCTGTTTGTTCGTAAATCGCTGGCAAGAACAGTCTTGCTGCTAGAAAACGGTTCTTCACGAATTGCTTGATTGTGTACAAAAGCTCGGGTCACTTTCTTTCTTTTTTACTCTTTAGCTTTTTAGCTGTGGTGCTACAGCTAGAAATGCCGGTTTGGGGCCAAATTACACAAAATGAGATAATTACGCTTTAAAATTCCTGGACATGTCCTGAACAATATCTAGAAAGGTACAAAAGCCTCCCTGCACCATAAAGTGGTGTTTTGGGGGATTTTAGAGTGTAGGGGAGTCTGAGAAAATATTTGCCAGTTTTGTTTAAAAGAAAAAAGCACTCTATTTTTTTCACGGTTGGTACTACTACTACTAGGTACCAGAAACTAAGTCTTCAAAGTAGCTGCATGCCAAATTTATCTGTTCCATTTGAAAGGCCTGTATCCACAGAGCATTTTGGTACCATTCTTTAACCTCTCAGTCATATTTTAAGAAAATGGTAATAGTTTAGAATTTGATAAAATTTGTTAAAGTCAGTCACTGGCTGCAACCCCATGTTTGACAGATAATAAAAGAGTACCAAGTGGCCTAAACATCTCCACATTAACAGAGTACAATCACTATAACAAATATATGGAGCCTAATTTTTTTCAAGACTGTGAGATAATTACAAATCAGTATTTTATCGCCTCAAACACGACGATCTGTCGTTATTTTGACAAAAACACCGAACGTTGACCCGGCCGGCGTCGCACCGGCCTCCGCGGTGAGCGAGTCAGCTCTATACTGTAGTGTACCCCGCATGCGGGGCCACATGCTTCAGAGTTTCGCGGAAGGATTAATGCAAAATAATTCCAAGATAATTACTTTTTTCTAATATGAAATAAACTGATCTTTTAATTGATGTCTTTTTTAAGCCGGTATTTTACATCTTTTGTGTAAAAAATGATCTTTAAAAATTTTGACCGTATTTTTATAGGCTTTCTATTTAAACGTCAAAGGCCAAAATTATACCACGAGTTCAAAGCTCTACAGTTCTGCGCCAATGAATAGACAGCATTTAATCATCCCTCGTTCCGCGAAGCATTTGAATGCACGTGTGTCAATTTTTTAACCGGCCGACAATGCATTCCGACCGTAAGGGGCTTCGCTATCCACGGCGATTCTCCAGCTCCTAATAATCGGACATATAAACAACTTACACCATTATAACGTGGAAAAGCTGAACTTTTACAAGGTGTACAGCATTTTTTGTTTGATAGCGAAAGAGCAAAGAAACAGTGATCAGAATTACCCCGATTTCACTGATACCACGCGGTCGGACCCACGCGGTCGGAAGGCCGTGTGTGCCCGTGAGGCTGTGTTTACGCTACCTACTACTACTATTTCTGACTCGATTTCAATGAAACTTTCGCAGAATGTCAAAATCATACAAATCTAGCTTACTGTGAGAGGAATTATTGATAAATGCATTGGCTTTTAATCTGTGAGCTTGAAAAGCTAGGTTTTTCCAGTTTTTCCACTGTTTCGCTGTAGCCGGAATTGAAAGTGCCCTAAAATATAAACTAAAAAAGATATCTAAAATCCCTGTTACGGATAGTGTGATCTTTGTATTATCAGTGTGCATGCTAATTATGAACGTAATCTGTTTTTCGGTAAGAAAATGGTACCTCATTATGTCTCTAAAATCCTATATGGCCGCCGTTTCCATGCCAACCAAATCAGTAAAAAAAAATTTGACAGTTGGTCACAAATCTTCATGGCCATATACTCATTTACACTAAATTAATAAGCTCTTTAGAAGTGGTATTAGCTGAGATAGGCTTATTCTGCCGCGCCACCCTTAAGGATGTATTCATGTCAGCATTCTGTAAAGTGGGAATGAAATATTAATGGTAATATTTGGGTTGTTACAACATTTTCATTTCAGTATTTCAGTCCCCTAGCCCCCGCCAACAACATCTCTGGTTTGTCTGCACCGCAACTGTAAGGCTTTGACTATTTCTATACTTTTTCTTTATTCCAGTACCTGATAATTAGGTACAGCAGATTTTAATGTTATGGGGAAACATTGTTCTTATTGCACCAACATCCCACTTATGAAAAGATAAATCAAAAAGACTTTAAAAGAATCCCTTTCAATGAAAAAGACCCATGGCAATAAGCACAGATGCCCCTTTTCCCCCTTTCTTTCAAATGGAATAAACAACGAGGGTATGCACAGAGGGGATGATTTTCCAGATAAATCCTAAATCCAGGTTCCTGGAATTATCCATATATTTCACTATATTATTATAATAGTTTTGATGCAAAGTGTTTTTAGTATAAGACAATATAATCTGCGAATTTTTAGTCACCATGGGCATTTTTCTCCCGGGTCTGAACAGTGTAGGGTTTTCTTTCTTTGCCAGTTGGCTCCCCTGTATGGAAAACACTATGTAAACCGAAGATCATTGGGTTGGAGATATGAAATATATACCTGAAATTTTTTTTAGTTTTTTAAATGTAGCA